CATGGTGCACTGCTGTTTAGTCTGTGTGCATATTGTTTGCTGTGGTCCGTGAGTCTTTGGATTTCAGTGAGTTTGCTGAAATGTTGAAGAATAATCAAACTTCAGTGGCCTGGTATTTTTCCCCCAACCTTTGAAATGGAGAGAGCAGCTTTAAAATGTACTGAGCCTTGAACAAATTGGTGAGTACTGGCACATGAAATTTGAAAGTCCACCTCTCATTTACAAGTTGGGGTGGGAAAGCAAAGTGGCTTTTCAAACCTGGAGTTCCTCCGTCACCTATACCCTAACCGTCATGTCGAGACCTGCCAGAGAGAGAGACACTCAAGTGAACGCTGGCTTCTTGGAAGCTCTTGCCTAGACGAGACACAGTGCATGAAAACAACTTGATGACCTTTCGGGGACAGGTATGTTTTTCTTGCAGCTGCGGTTAAAAGGTCTTGGCAAGATGAGCAGTGTGGCCCTCTTTTTGAGCTTCTGGTGCGTGGCAAGACCTCATGTTTAAAGTGAGGTCCTTGGGAGCACATGAAGAGGCTACTGTGAACTTATTGGTCCTACTGCAAGAAGCGTTCAGATGTCACTTGACTTGTAGGGGCACTCTGGTAAGGATTTAGATCATGGGATAAATTGCAAAGAAGTTCAGAGGGAAAAGTACATCGATGCTCAATTTTTCTTTTTTCTTTTTTGGAATAATTAACATTATTTTCAGCAGTTACCATCTTAAGATCTGTTACTATCTAACTTGCTTTTTCATCTGACTGTTGTGGTGTGCAAAATTTTGTACATTGCTTTTGCTGCACTGCAACATTTTACAGATGTGGAAGATGTGAAATTTGTCATCAATTATGACTACCCAAACTCCTCTGAGGACTATATCCACCGAATTGGACGAACTGCCCGCAGCACCAAAACAGGCACAGCATACACATTTTTCACACCTAATAATATAAAACAAGTAAGCGACCTCATCTCTGTACTTCGTGAAGCTAATCAAGCAATCAATCCCAAATTGCTCCAGTTGATTGAAGACAGAGGCTCAGGTAATTATGACTTGCCTACCCATTGATTCTTAATTGCCTTTTAGCTTAAATATTTCAGTGCCTGAAATAGAGATTTTTGGTAATAGTGTTTGGCAAAGATACATTTTTAGTCCTTTAATTGTATTATGTAAAGATATGTTGAATCTGAGCATGTTTGTTTCTGTTGAATGGGAAGTACTATAAGCCTTCAAAAAGAGCCCCTTTGGAGGAAGAAACTTGGGAGTAGGAGAGGCTCCTGTTAATTTTGCTTTTTATTTCATTTTACAGGTCGCTCCAGAGGGGATCGACGTGACAGATACTCTGCGGGTAAAAGAGGTGGATTTGGTTTTAGAGAAAGGGAAAACTTTGAAAGAACCTATGGTGCAGTGGGCAAGAGAGACTTTGGAGCAAAAGCACAGAATGGTGGCTTTGGTGCTCAAAGTTTTGGTAACGGAACTACCTTTGGTAGCAGCTTTGGCGCAGCTGGCATGCAAGGTGGATTTAGGGCTGGCACTTCAGCCTATCAAAATGGCTACGACCAGCAGTATGGAAATAACATGGCAAACATGCACAGTGCAATGAACCAACAACAGTATGCATACCCTACAACTGGTGGTACGCCAATGATAGGTTATCCAATGCCAGCAAATTATACCCAATAACTTAGTCTATTTAAATGTCTTGTTTTTCATAATTGCTCTTTATATTGTGTGTTGAAAAAAGATAGTTATTTAATATCTTATGGAACATGCAGAAAGATCTGCAGTGCAGCAGTAACAATGGTGCACTTTTTCCGCTATTTAAGTTGAATATTCTCTACATTCCTTGAATGATTTTTAGTTTTTTGTACTAGAAAATGCAGACTGTGTTTTCACAAAGTAAATGTACAGTGATTTGAAATAACAACAACTGGAGGCATTGCATGGCCTTCCAATAAAGGTATTTCAAAACAGAATTGTCTTGGTATTTGAGTGATTATATTGATCTAACCCAAGGCTAGTTTGTTAATACTACAAAGGCCACGTATTTGATGCAGTGGCTGTGAAATTTTTGGAAACCAAAGAAAGAACTACCTGTATCTCTTTCAAGCCCTTTTGAGACCGACTTGGCAATTCTCAGATGGGGATCGATGAGCAGGAACTGATTCATTATGTCATTGGAAAATATTTATTCTTTTCTCCAGCACTGCTTTGTGAAGCTACATGGGAAATAGACTGTTACAGGGCAAGTTGAACCTTCAACGAAGATAATTTTGGAGATTTATAACTGGGTTCCTGAATTTTGGGGAATAATTCAAAGGGATATAAACATCATGAAAACTTAATACCTTTTAATAAAAGATGTCAATAGTAAAGGTTCTACTATACTAGGTTCCCCCCCCCCCCCAACCAGACTTTAAACTGCTCTTCTCTTGCTGTATAAACCACCCAGATTCCTGATATGGGCAGATTACAGCTTCAGATACTTAGGGGCCTAAAATGGTTTTGGGAATTAGATATTCTAAATACAACCATAAGGGCTGAACACTGCCAAACACATTTCTAGAGATTTTGGGCATTGGATTCAGTGTTGACTCCTGTCTTGTCTTAGCTAAGTCTGCAGTTTTTGGCAACATTGCCTATCTCCTAGGATTGACAAAGTGACTGGCCCAAGGCCATCCAGATGATTTTGTGTTTAAACGCGAGGCTTAGAACTCAAATATCACAGTCTACAGCCTTGATCCCTGATGGAGTTATTTTAGGATTAAATATTCAATATGCTAAGAAATAAACTTGCGTTTCATGGAAACATAAATGTTTGAGTTAATACGTTTCAACTTGCCCATAATGCGATTCTGTTGCATGATAGAAATTTCCTCTGGCCCTGTTGAGTCACTGATTCTGTCAATCCAAATCTTAATTTGCATAGGTTTCCAGATGTTCAAGGAGATAAATGAATTCTTAAAATAATGGCATGGGGACAAAGAACCTAGTTATTTAAAATTGGCCTTAAGCATTCAAATAGTACTGAAGTATTTATCTTCACTGTTGAAACGTATAACCTTAAAATATGCATGCAGTACTTCAGGCTTCATGAAAAACACTAAATGCAAAGTACAGATGTTATTTTAAGTAGAAGTGAAAACATGCTGATATACATCACACACTGATTTTTGCTAATTTTTTATTTGCAATATAGAATAGTACTGTAGTGGGTTTTTTTCCCATGGTAGTTGAGAATGACCATTGTCTTGCAACTTTTTTATGTAGCCTGTATGTAGCTGGTTCTACATGGATATAAAATGTATATTTTGCCCTTTGCTGGGATAGGCTATCTTTTTTTCCTTGGATTTAACTGAAGATATTCTATTGCTATCCTGAATCTTAAAATAGAATACTAAATAACATCTCACAAACAGGAGAAATGTATTAATCAGCCTTCTGCAGATCCCAATTTCTGGCTGAAGTGTTTAAATCTGCAATAGTTGAGCAGCAGTAGAAAGTGCTCCACATTAGTATATCTAGGCTGTGGTTTTAATTGGTGATGGGATTTCAAATACTGCAAATTGTAATAAATACAATCATTCTAAACCATATTAAGGATTAATGGAGCAATTGAAGATGTGACATTTTTATACAGGAATCCATGAAAAGAATGGCATTTGTGACAAGCCCCCACTCCATTACGGTTTTTTATTTCAATGTCACAGAGTCAAAAACATGGCCAAATTTACTATCAATACATTTTCTTGGGTGCTGTATTTCCTGTGCATTCTGTTCTTATTGGCTGTTCTGTTCAGTTACAAATTGGAAGTAATAGTTGGGAGAGATGCATACGCCTACAATATAATCCAAGGTTAAAATTGGAGATGGGGGTTAAATTTGAGGGATTAAGAGTAAGGATGCTGCACTGCACTTCCATCTTTCATGTATAATCCTATATAGTGCATGTTAAATTAAGTAAAGAGGCTTCCAGTCCCTGCAGGGCTCTCATAGAAGTATGATTAGTGGTGGTTGTGAAGCAATGGTAAAATTAGAACAATTTAGGTCAACCTTCCATAACTCATTGTCTTCTATAATGTTTTGGATTCTTACTCCCGCAAAGGCATGCCTGTTAACTAGAATTGAACAGTCAGCCTTAAAACCATTTGTTTAGTGAGCATTCAAACTTGCAGTGGCACTGAAAAGAGAGACTTATAGCTGGTTTTCACACTGCATCATTGCAACTTCTCCAAGATCACATAATTTAAAATTTTGGCAACTGGCATGTATTTATGATGGTTGCTCAGCCCCTGGGTCATGTGATCACTATTTGTAACCTTCCCAGCTGGCAAGTCAATGGAGGAAAACAGATTCGTTTAATGACCGCATGATTCACTTAACTATGGCAAAAAATATTGTACAATGGGACACATTTCACTTAACTGCCTTAATAATTTTGGGCTCGATTGAGGTCGTAAGTCGACTACCTATATTGAAATACAGCTACTAGTCGTTTTCGGAAAAACCTGTGTTAACGACTGCTGAAAATAATGCAGGTTCTAATGGTAGATTAGGATTGGTTTGAAGGCCAATCCAACATAAAATCGCCCTATGAAATACTCCTCGTTGTAGGCTTCCGCCACAAGGCTTCTGAGTCAAAACAGATCAGCATTTGTTAGCTTCCTTTAAGCGTCTTGAATTAACTGGATGATAAAGGCATGGCGAATATCACTCAAATCTCTCACTAATTTGCGTTGACGGCTTTCACCCCGCCTCCAAAAACGGAAGATTAGAGCTCGGCCAAAAACCGAAGGGGGACAAATCTCTAGCAGCCCCCAGGCGGCATGGCTAGCAAGCGAAGGATGCCGGGAGTTGTAGTTCAGCATCGCCCGAAAGCCTCTGCGGTGTTGTCACTGTTACACAACGCGTGAGGAACTCCCTCCCTCCGCGAGTGCCCGTGCAAGCGGCGCATGCTCATTCCAATCAGTCACCCACCCACCCACCCACCCAGGACGTTTCCTACATGTGGCTCGGGCGGTACTCCCGGTGGGGCTGCGGGTGCCTTACAAATCCCAGCCTTTCCATAGCTCGCAGCGGCGGGCGAGGCACCGGTTGCCCTGTATCCGGTAGGCGTCTCAGTTTTCTCCACAAACGCTCCCGAAAAAGGCGGGGAGAGAGGCAACCTGAAGCCCCGTGGGAGCAGCTCGACAGCCCGAAGCTGCCCGCGGGGAGCCGTGCAGCGCCGTGGCGGCTTTTCCGGGGCTCCGCCGTTCCCTCGGTTACCCAGTCGCGCTCCTGCAGCAGCACCGACCATGCGGGCGAGGAGTGCGGCGAAGTAGCCCTGGCCGCCTGTCAGAGGCGGTGTTTCCTCCGAGGAGGCGGAGAAGAGGACAGGCAGACCTGGGCTTCTTACCTACGAGGGGACCACCCGGCCTTCGGGCCTCTCGGGGTGGCGCTGAAGAAGAACCTGGCCGCTCAGTGGTGGGAGGCCGTGGTGGTCTTTCGGGAGCAAGTGCTGGGCGTGGAGGGCCCGGCTCGACTCGAGCCCGCTGCTGACCAAGGACCCCTGGGGGAATCTCTGCGTCTGGTGCATCCGCGCACCGTCGGGGAGACCTTGTTGCAGGAGGCCGGATCGGATGGAGAGCAGCAGCTCGCCGCCTTGCAGAAAATGCTAGCCCGGTCTGGGATGCTCCGGGACAACCTCCTTCACGGTAGGATGTGGCTTCTGTAGGTTATTACTTCTGATAGCAATAGCACTTAGACTTATACACCGCTTTTGCAGCCCTAAGTGGTTTACAGAGTCAGCCTATTTGGCCCAACCATCTGAGTCCTCACTTTACCCACCTGGGAAGGATGGAAGGCTGAGTCAACAGATGTAGCCTGCAGTACTGCATTCTAACCATTGTGTTAACATGGCTCAATCGTGGGAAGAAGGCCTGAAATGCTGGCGTTCAAAGGGGAAATCAGAATTGAGATGTGGACGTGATCTGCAGTACATCACCAATAATGTCTCGGGATCAGGGATTCAGTGACAGCAGTTCTATATACTTTACTTTATTGTCATTGTACGTATATACACAGTTTACACATACAACGAAATTCACATAACACCCAGAGACCAGGCCAACACACATAACAATCCCAATATAACACAAATAAGGAAAGCTACAAAAGTGAAGTTCTTGCATCCCTGAATCTGTAAACAGGTTGCACTCTGTTGTTCAGTCATGTGTCAAAAAATGTTGGAATATGTGGCTTTGGGGCAGGAGTGTCTATAACAGTGGTTCCCAATGTGGGGTCCACACCCCACAGGGAGGCAATTTGATTTTTAATGGGGGCAATTAGAACCTTGTTTAAACCAAGTGAATGGTCTTTTAGGCTTTCTCCAAGTAAGTAGGTGTCACTTTTTGAATAATAATAATTATATGTGGGGGAGGGATCAGGATTTTAGAGATGCTTAGGTGGGGCAGGACCAAAAAAAGGTTGGGAACCATTGGTCTATAAGGTAAAATAAGTATAATGGCAAGTGGGGATGCCTCCTGGGAGACAGGAGGAAGAGCTGCAGCCTAAGCAGGCCTATAAATGAAATCTGAATCCAAAGAGGGGTGGGGATGGAGAAAGTACCTCAAAAGCGCCCCCCCCCCAGTTTTTGGGAGAGTAAAAAGGAGGGACAGGAGAGATATTTTCACATTTGCAAGATTCTGTAACTATATAATAAAGGTTGTGTTAGTGGTTGGTGCTACTTGTCTGCACTGCCACAAAGGGTAGATGGTAGGTCATAAAAATGCATAAATGTGCTGCTACTTTTCCACATGAAAAGGAGGAACTTGCATTATATTGTAATTATAAATGTTTTGCTAGTTTGGTGTGTTTGCGGTTAATTAGTTGTTGCCTAATCCAGGACTCCTGTGTTTTTAAGATTATGTGGCTATTGGTTGGTTTAAACTTGGTTTAAACTTTCATTTAACAGTACAGAGATGGTACTGTAATTATTAATTGAAAATGCAAATTTGTTAAAATGCAGATTTGTTAAATGTTGTTATGTCTGAAATTAGGTCATTATAATTCAAGCATTAGAATCACGAAATTGTATGACACATTTACATCAATGCATAGCATATTTGCATGATATGATTAACCATAGGGTTCCACCACAAAACCGCGGTAGACTAAAGCGCGCTCGACGAAAGCGCGTACGTGACATCATCACAGCGCGACGAAAACAGCACACTGTGATCGGTAAACTTAAAATTAAAGCGAAAACCTTACCCTAACCCCCCCAAACCTAACCCTAAGCCTAACCCTTAACCTAAACCTAAACCTAACCCTATACCTAACCCTTAACCTAACGCTAAACCTAACGCTAACCCTTAACCTAACCCTAAACCTAACCCTTAACCTAACCCTAACCCTAAACCTAACCCTTACCTTTACGTGAATCGGCTTGCTTTAAAAGCGCTTTTTAAAGCGCCCTTTTTTCTCCGCGGTCGTATTTGTCGCGCTGCTGCTGATGTCACGTACGCGCTTTAATCGGGCGCGCTTTAGTGGACCGCGGTTTTGACGGGTCACAAACCATAGACTATTTCTGTTCTGGATAAATGAAATTATCCTGCAATATTGTAATGCATCAACTGTTAATATTTATTCATTTATGTTGATAGGTGCTTTAGAGCATTATATTGATTGTCTGGAGTTGGTAAACCAGAGACTGCCTTTTGGAATTGCGCAAATAGGAGTATGTTTTCATCCAAATGACAAAAATCCTATGAGGTACAGTAATCCAGATTCCTAAATTCTTTTTAGTAGATATGTGCCCTTTTCTGGAAGAAAAACAACTTGCTTATTTGTTGACCTCTTCTTGGTATTCTTTAAAGAACAGGTGAAAGGACAATGGCGTCCCTTGTTTGGTACAGCTCTGCCAGAACAGCTGGACAGTGGCTTGGCTATTGGTTACGTCAGCGACTCCAGTGGTGGAGAAAGGTATTTAGAGAGATCTTACCTATATTAGCTGTTAAAATTATCAAAATATTGAATGGTTCCTATGAAAAAGCTGTTGTGAAGTTGAAAGCAGAATTGATATTCTTACACTTAATTCATGCCGCTCACTGCTTTAAATCTAATGGTCACTAAATTACTTTTCATCTGAGTAGTTCAGAAAATCAGCAACTACAAACCAAAAAATTCAATTTCTATAGATAACAGGCCAAAATTAATTGGAATTTAAACAGAAAAATTTCAAACGATTAAAAAAAAACAACTAAAAAAAACTTTTTTACAATTACTTTGCAGGATGTTAAGATAAGTTTTTACAACTTGTTAGAATTGGGATAATTTTTTCCCATTTCAGCAAAAATTGCAATCAGTGTCTGTATAGTATGGCTCTGAGGTATACGTTGTTTCCCAACCAGATTTTTCTAATTGAATATGTACTTACTTTCCAAAGTGAAAAGCATAGACTTTTCAGTTACGTTGAAATATCCATAGTCTTAATTTGGGTGTATCTGGGATATACTTAGTTTGTAAATCCCTGCATTTTTATATTTCTTTTTAATAGTTTGCCATAAGCCCATCTAACTTCAGCAGTGCCACTCACAATGAAGAAGGAAGAAGAGGAAACAATCTGTATTATAATTTTCCCTGGGGGAAGGAAACAATAGAAACTCTGCAGATGCTAGGAGACAATGAACTATTACAAATGTATCCAGGAAATGTATCAAGATTGTATGTAAGTTTTATTAAACTCTTTAGTGCTGTAGTTATGCTAGCACCATCACCCTTTTCCCCCTTACCATCCATTTGGTATAATAATACGAGCGATATAGGTGATCATGCTGAAATGTGGGCACATTCACTGAATGCACATTTTGATGTTTCTTCTTCAGGGTCGAGATGGGCGAAAGAATGTTGTTCCTCATGTACTCTCTGTGAACGGCAATTTGGACAGTGGAGTATTAGCGTACCTCTATGATAGCATGCAAGTATCGGAAAATGGTTTGACCAAAAAGAAAGCTCTGCAAAGACAGGTGATTCATATTCCTCAATTGAATTAAATCAATGCAAATGGAAGCTGAGTGTAAGATTCTTCCTTTGCAGTTGTATTCAGATGTGTTTAATACTGTCTTCTGTTTGAGTCTTTTGATTTGGAGAATTAAATATTCCATAGCTGTAAATTTGAAAACTATAAATGTAGTTTGCGTTACTTTCAGTGGGCTGGATATGGAAACTTTCCATAAGAAAAAGGTGATCTTTGACCCTTTCCCACCTTCCTCATCTACTGTATGTGTGTTCCCCCCCCCCCAAATAATTCTAAAGGTTGAAGACATAGAAGAAAAAAACTCTGGAAGTTGCAGAGGGACTAAAGCAAGTGTCACCTTCATTTTTCCCAGCAGGGGCATTCTGAGAAAAAAGAAGCTATCTTTAAGAACCATCCTGCTTTGTAAATATTTGCAATTGTTATTTTTACATTATTTTCAACCTTTAGAATTATT